GTTGAGAGTCGAAGAGCAGCCGATGGAAGTCTCTCCCTCTTCGTTTTATAGACGCGAAGAAGGCAAGGATCGAGGCCTGCGAAGGATTTTCGGGAATCGACGTAAACGGTGCTGCATGTACAGTACTTTTCGGCGAGATTTCAGGCAGATATCGCGGATTCGACAGTCTGAGGTATGCGCCATTTCAGCCAGATTCGTGGGATTTGGCTGAGTGACATGGATACGAGGTTTGATTTTCTGCTTGTTTCTTTTGTGTTTTACACAGAGGTCAACAAAAGTCTTAAATAGTGACGGCCGACGGCGGTAGCAATGGCCGACACCGGGGGGTGGGGGTGGCGACCGACGAGCGATGGCAGCCGATGGTGGGTAGCGGCGGTGGCCGAAGACTGCGGTCAACGACAATGAGCAGCCGAATGCGGAGGCTGTCAGTTGCGGCCAGCGGCGGGCGGTGATCAGGCAAACTTGTGGTGTAAATGATTTTCACTCAAAATCGGAAGAGTTTGGTTTACACTAAAAAAAACTACTTCATTTTAAATTAAATTTAATATACTTTGCATCATTTTGTATTCCAACCAAACACCAAAATTTGTAAAACTCCTACATTTTGAATACTTTACATCCTAAAGTAATCCAACCAAATAGAGACCCTCAAAGCTGTTTAGTATACTTCTGTGAAATTTACCAAGTAGGCATATAAGAGGGAATTTGAATCAGGCAAACTTGTGGTGTAAATGATTTTCACTCAAAATCGGAAGAGTTTGGTTTACACTAAAAAAAACTACTTCATTTTAAATTAAATTTAATATACTTTGCATCATTTTGTATTCCAACCAAACACCAAAATTTGTAAAACTCCTACATTTTGAATACTTTACATCCTAAAGTAATCCAACCAAATAGAGACCCTCAAAGCTGTTTAGTATACTTCTGTGAAATTTACCAAGTAGGCATATAAGAGGGAATTTGAACAAGAGCATTGCAACTTGGAAAAAGTGACACTACTACATAAGGATGCAGGCAAGATGTTAGAAACCAAACTAAATTGGCCAATCAAATTGATTGAAACATAAACTAATACCTTAATTGGTTCCAAGCAATCCGAAATCGAATTGAGAAATAATCACTTAAAACCTCCTAACCTTCCAAAAATAATTGCATCTCTCAATATGATATGATTGGGTATGTTTCTTTGGTTAAACATAATAGAGCATTAACGCAAAGCATGGGTTCATATTTGTGTTTCCTAACATCTCACATGTAACTATGGAACAATCAAGATCTTCAATTCAACCTCTACCACCATGAAGGCAAGCTCCACAATTAGGGGTTTAGCCTAACAATCATAATAACTGGAGCTCACACTTCGTAATCATGCCATTATCATAGCAGTTAAAAATAAGAATAATATAAGGTATGAAAACCCAGAATCATTCCTGCAAAGGATGAATTTAAGGTATTGGATTTGTTGGAGGTAGATTACAAAGATATAGATAATGGTGACTCATTGCACATCATATTTTTCTTGGATTTTCCATTCTTGGAAAAAAAAAGGCAGTTCTGATTATTAGCTTTATGCTTTCCCGTGTGAAGAGAATAAATTGAGAGGAAAAGAAGCGGGATGGAGGGATGAATCTAGGGAGAGAAAAGAGGGCTTAAAGATGATACAAACAGAAAGTGGAAGTGAGGAGAAAGCCTCGTGTGAACTAGGTTTAAACTCTTTATTTTTTATTGTTTATATCATAAATTATTTTTAATGTATTAATAAGTTTACCAATTTTTTATAATTATTTATTTTAGGCTTACATTAGTTAGTAGGT